GAGTTTCTCTATAGTACCTAAGTTACCTAAATCTGAACGACAAAAAAACTGGAGAATGTTTTTCAACCACAGGTATATTCTTTTTTTTTTTGGTTATTCTAGCGTTTGGCGTAGTGAAACTAATACAGGTTTTAAACGTAAGGATCTGTTACGAGTACTCCCTAGAGATAAAAAAAATATTCATAAATTATATTTTTTAAATTGGCTTAAAAAAAAAAATCAATTCTACTTACTTAAACTATGATTATAATCACTATCATCAACATCCATCGAATTTTCATTATTTTTTGAGTCACCATTACCATCTTCATTTTCTAAATATATATTTTATATGAATAAACTTATGTGAAAAATACAAAATATTTCAAATATTTAATATATACATACCATTTTTGTCTACAGACACATCATCTGAATTTTCTTGTTTACTATCTTTTTTTGATTCATTATCGTCCTTCACATTGTCAGCACTATCTTCACTGTTACCATCATTTTTTGACATTTCAGTTTCTTTTTTGTTTTGCATTTCTTCTCTCATACTTATTATATAACCTATAATATAAAAATATAAATAATTAATAGTTGCTTCTACTATCTATTAAAAATAAAAATAAATATTAAATGATGATGAAACTAAGAATATTGATAACAATGAATTATTATTAAGATTCTATTTAGTTTATAGTTCAATAAATTAGTTTCAGACCTTCTACTGTGATAAATTTATGAAACATTGACTTTTGACTTCAATTTTCATTTAATTTAAAATTAGTTTTATTGAAATCTTTACTAACGTCAGGTATAAGCTTTTGGTTATAACGAGAAAGATTATCTGATATTTTGAATTCAATGTAATTGATTTCTACTATGCATAATATTACTTTAAAAATGTCTTGTTTAATGAATAATAAGAAAAATATGCTTTAAGCAAATTATTTTATGGAAGTATTAAAATATTTACACAACAAAAATATTTTCCAATAAATTGTAGTAATAAACATAATAAAACTGTTGAGTATTTTTTTTAAAACAGGGTTTTATTTCATGTATTTTAATACTCAAACAAATGATAATAGATAAAATTAGAATATTCAAAATTATTATATTAAAGATTACTTAATTAAATAATTATATTACTTCATACTATACATGAAATATAAATATAATTAACAAAAAAAATTTGAGAATCGCATCATTTTATGTTTTTAGGAAGTTGAGGAAATGTGAGAATACGGAGAATGGATTTCTTGTGAGGGGAGTGACGTGCGAATGTAACCTAACCAAACCTAATCTAACAAAAAAAAAAAAAACCAAACTGGGAGTTTCGCTAAATATATGCTAAATGGTCTGAAACAGCAAAAACTTTTTTTGAAAATATTGCAGTTACTATATTATTATTATAATAAATACTTATAGTATTTAGTTGTTATAATAATATATATTTATACAATATTATAGTAACTCATTTAATACTCAATTTTATAATATATTTCTGTAAATACTTTAAAATAGTAAAATAGGTTCACAGTGTTGATAACATTAAAATCAATAATATTTGAATGGTTAAAATGTACTGATATGCTGTGATTAATATAGGGAAGAATTTACAATTAAATTATATTTAATTAATATATTTTAATAACATATTACACAGTTCTGCCAAGACTTGTTACAAGATTTAATAACATCTGTACTCCATAGGTCTTCATTTTCAGAATTACCAATATATAATTGTTCATTATACTCTTTATCAACGGACTTTTTTAAAAAATTCCATAATTTTCCAAAGTTAAAAAGTTTTTATAATAGTTAGTTTTTTTATTCATTTTCTCTTAAATGATCACAATAAATGGTTTAACTTTGTCAAAAAATCAATTGGATGGAAGTCAACTATTAAATAAATTAAGATTTTATGGATATCATGAAGATAATCAATTAACAAATCATTATTATTTGAAAACCGTTTATTCGTGCTTTTGATAATAGAATCCAACACTCAACAGTAAATTTTTAAAGCAATTTTTTTTCTTTTCAATTGGTTTATCCTTTACTTTCATAACTTGCCATTTTTCTTTTCTTAGCCACACGTTTGACTTCAAATTTACGCTGAAATTTTTCAATTTCTAAGTCTTTACTAGATTTATCAATTTTTATTTGTACCTAATTATATACAATGATTTCTCATAATCATAGACTTAACGGCGGCCGACACTATTCAAGTATAGCATTATTGTATTGATCATATACTATAATAATAACATAGTTCTTTAAGTTTTAACACAAACAAATTGTTGATGACTTCACTAATTTTGTAAATAAAACCTAACATGAAATAACCAGGCTACTAGGCCATAAATATGGTTCAAGTCATCTAGAAATTTCCCATTTCTAGAATTGTCACTCCACCCCTGCATGATTAAAGGCCTCAAAAAACTGTATTTTTGAAAAAAATGCATCATTATTAGCATGAAGGAGTAAGTTTTGAATTTCGAAACGTCAGATACATGATAAGGTATGTTGCGAACAAAACAATGCCCTTTTTACTTTATGCAATCAGGTATTCAAAATATGTATAGACTACTTTTAAGATAATAGTCGTGATCATATCAATATATCATCATGAATCTATTCACACTGCTCTACGGTAAGATATTAAACTAAAAGTTAATAACACTAATATACTAAATGTTATATTAAACACATTATAATATTACAATAATTAAATATTAAATTTAATTAATTAAATTAATTAAATAATTAAATCAACTTAACGTAATAACTACAATAATAGAATAAATTACTTTAATAGCAATATTAATAAACTTTATGGAGTAGATAAGTTGACAGATTGTTTTCGTTCATTATCGTTTTTCGTTTACAATGATACCTATAATATAATCTAATTCAAATTTAACAAAATATATATTAGGTATAAATGTATTATGTTTTATTTAGTTTCTACTTTACAACAAAGCGGCACCCACAATTGTTCACTTTTTTTATAACAAATAATATCATTAACACTAAAATCAATGCATAGTTATTAAAGTTGTTCATATTGTAATATATTTTATTTAATCATCAAAAATTAAATTCTTGAAGTCACGAGAATGGAACACAAAACATGTGTTTCATTTCGAAGTAAATTATAATAAATATAACTTTAAGATATCTGGAAACAGTAATTTTATCTTAGCATATCATAATTAATATTATTATATTATAATTAAAAATTAAACGCTAATTAACAATTGTAATTTAACTGTAATAATGCAATATAATATCTAATAGTGCAATTTCAAAGAAAAATCTGAAGGTGCTGAAGCTCCTTTATTTTTTTTAATGTTATCTTATTATTATGAATACTTACAATCCGTACAACATTCCATTCAACTATTACATATTTAATATTAACTATGTAAAGTGTGGGATACAAATAATATGTAATAATTTAATTAAAAATTAATTTATACCTATGCTCAATTACTAATATTTGAGTATTTATTTTTATATTATAATTTGATTTTACAGTTCACTCTAACATTATTCTCCTATCAGTTTTATCAAAAATATGTAACACTTCATTTATATCATTTGTATTTGTTTAGATGATGTCGTACCCGCATTTGTAGTCACCGTCTAATATAGCAAATTTTCATTTAGCAGAATCCATTTTATGTTGTTAGCTTTAACATTTGAGTAAATTAACATATTATCAAATTAAAAGTAAGGATTTTATTTAGGCAATGCCATAGTATTTTATTAAAATAAAATTTTAAACTAAGTTATGAGCATTTTAAAATATTAATATTCTATATAGTTATAACCTAGTTTAAAATTAAAATATCAACAAAAGCCTATGTCATTGTCTTGATAAAATTCTTATCTTTAAATTTGACTATAAGTAAATTTACTAATATGTTAAAGCTAACAACATAAAATGGATTCTGCTGAACGAAAATTTGCTATGTTGTATACATGTATGTAATTATTTATTATTATTAATTATTACCAATAATAAAACTATACTGATAGTGTAGTACAGGGGTTCCAACCCGCTGCCTGTGGTAGATATTGATGCGGCTCTCATTTCACTTTAAAATCCATTATTTATTATATTTAATATATTAATGTTAAGAAAAAAAAATTATTATAAGAATGTAAAACTAAAAAATATTTAACATCAAATAAACTTTAATAGTGTTTATATTATACAGTATACACAAACGTTTTATAAAATGATTAAATTAAGTGTAAAAACTCTGCTTTTCTATACATACTAACTATTAAAATTTAAATTAACATGAAAAAATTTGGGGGTCCTAATTTTCAAATTTAGAGAGCTGGGCACACTCAAGAACCCCCCCCCCCCCCCACCCAATTGTGCCAACGGTAATATTATCTATTTTATTATAAATTATACATACGATTCAATATTCGTAATAATTGTGTAAAATGTTTTGGAGGGTTCGCGGTGAATTGGTCGCGAACAATTGATCGCCGGTGAATTGATCGCGAATACAATTGGTCGCCAAGATAATTGATCGCTAAACAAACTTTTTTAGTTTTTTAAGTATTTTATTTTAAATTTTCATTATTGAGTTCATATCATTATATTGTTATTAAGTATTTATATTATTATTGATATTATGTACCCACATGGGCATTATTAGTTTATTTCTGTCGTTTCTAATCACGGCGGCATAATCTCAAATTGTTCGTCGAAAGCCAACGTCTTCTCATTGTTAAATTATCAATACCGTGAAGTCACCTAAGTTTATTATTATATAATTGTCAAATTAACTTGTATTAGTTTTAAGGTGATATCAACATGGCCGTGATTAAATTGTTATTATTATTATCCACTATATACATAATCTATTTATTATTTTTTTTTTAATTAAAATTAGCATTTAACTGTACGTTATTTAAAAATAAAACAATAAGAATACTTAAATATTCTAAAATAATAAACATAAAATTCGGTAATATACCTAGGATAATAAAATACTTAAAAAACTAAAAAAAGTTCGTTTGGCGATCAATTATCTTGGCGACCAATTGTATTCGCGATCAATTCGCCCGCGATTAATTCACCGGCGATCAATTGTTCGCGACCAATTCACCGGATACCGTTTTGGAGAACTAGTTTGCATTTAAAAACCTTTATGTTAACATTTTTAACGTTAGAAGACATATTTTTCAATAATACCGCAAAATTATAAATAGATGCTCACTCTTTCTACACAATACACACGTATATAAAATGTAGAATGTAACTTGGAACCTATTTAGTTTCAGCCAACACCTGGCAAAGTCTGTCGATGACCATGTGAGAATGATGTGGCTGAATGATTAACGCCGGTCGTATTCTGATATATATATAAATCCACATCCTCCGGTTTGGACTCCAGATTTAAGAAGGCGATGAAATACAATATTTTGGTTATTTTATTTCTCTTGAGTGATTCAATTTTGGGACAAAATTAGGTTACGTTCATACTTTGTTCTCATCGCTATCCAACACTTTCATCATGTCCGGATGGTTGTAACCCAGTAGCATGGACGATATTTGCGTGTATACGTCCAATAAGACATTACCATTGACGTCAACTATGAACCAAGTAGTTACCCAGAGATTTGTCATAGTCGGCGAATAGTTGAACGAATCAGATTGCTGATAACACATAATATTACTTTAGTTGCGGAAGCAATAATTAACTTTTAAACAATCTAAATAGTAGTTAAACACATTTTGTAAAATTATACATCGTGAAGTATGATATTATTATCCACAAATTATATTTGTATTATTTCTGAAAGTAATATATTACATGTATCAATAAATATTTAGAAGTTATAAGAACAAGATGTAAATTCACGTTCAAGAGATTTGCATAATTTATGTAACTATCTATCATAAATGTTATATAGGTAGCAAATAATATAATATATTAACCAAATCATCGTAGATCCGATTATATTCTCACCTGAAGTTGTGAAAGCTCAGTGAGAAGTTTTTTTGACTTTGGTCCGTGTACCGATGGTGCAGCATATTCTCCGGGACACAATGAAGACACTATCCTTACTAAAACATAGAAATATAATGTATTATTTTAAATAAAATAAAATTATTAAACGCTATGCTCTTTTTCTTTAATATCTAATTAAAAATGTGTCTATAATTATTATAATTATTTGAAACAGACGAATCTGTTTTTAACTATATAAGTATGTAATATTTGAGGATGCATTTTAAATAATATTTTTAGTAGTAGTAAAGGCAAAAATGTAAAGTTTTAATAAATATTTTAATAATTACAATGTTTTCTAATTAACTATTGTGATTATTTCGGGAGTTTTTTTATTGTTTCTTTTAATCTATGATCTATATATTATATATGTTTCGATATCCTAATAATGCAAATAATGCCCTATAAATTACGATATTTATATCTAATTCTATTCAGTTAAGGAGTAGTTGGTTAGCTATTCCCACTACACGAACCGGTCTTAAGAACCGGGTTGTTGAATTGATATAAATAAAGTTTTCTAAGTTATATTTTACATGTCCTAGAAACGTATGACCTGCGCTCATAAACTGACACAATAAAAACGATATTATAGCAACGTATTACAAGGTTTATTTATAAGACTAATATCAATATAATCATACAGTACACTATCACCTGAGTAACCCTGTTCTTGAGGGTAGTATTTTGAAGATCACAGGTGTAGCGGAGTACGAGTTGAAGCGATTGAATAAATTATGATTTATCTATAAAGTAGGTTATTATACCTGTAATAAATTAAATTAAAAATGTTACTTAAAAATATAGAGACTGCTATTGTCTCTATTTCACGAACCAAACTCGATTGACTAGCTATATCAAAAATGATTTGCATATACTCGTACTCTACGTTCCTGTGTTCTTCTGACTTAAGCAAAATCGCAGAGTTCGATATAAATGACGCGTCAGTAACATGTATATCGTTACAATGGCATATGTACTTATTTCATAAGAACAGTCCTTGTTTTTGGATACATGTTCTACTTTCCTAAGAAAATGGCTTAAGTATATAAAAATGTACTCATTTCAAATTATGTAATGAATACAAATAGAATAATGTTTGAAAATCTTTGAAAAAATTCGTTAAATTTATTTCAACTTAATACCTATTTTTTTTGTAACAAAAACTAAAAAGTATTATAATTCGATTAAGGTTTCAAAAATAATCTGTAAGCGATAGTACGTTCCTAGTGGTACTTATCGGCTATCCCGGACAAAATATCGCATCAAAAATGTTGCAAAACCAATATATCCAAATACACCAATTAAAAAGAACAAGACGGTCAGTTAGGCTGAACGAGTAAAGAAAGTAGTAGCAGATTATCAAAATCGAGAGTTTGAAGATCATCTTCAAGGTATTTCATTTAATATAATAAATACTTCCATTAATTATAACATACAATGTACCTATATTATACATATTTTATTATTTATTTTTTTGATACTTATATCAATTTTATTAAATTATACATATTTTTATCGTTTTTATCAATTCTACTATAATATATTTTATAACAATATTATATGCTTTGAAATTTAAATTATATAAAATCATAACTATTATAAAATATCGATTAATAATCAAAAATATTTATTTCTAACCAAATTACTACCATATTCCATACTGGCGATATATGTGTGCTGGCGATATTTCGTCGGTGATTCGTTTGATAATACATATCAATAAGATATATTTAAATCCCTTTAACGTAGGTACCTAGTTAAAATTTTTAACAGCATAAAATAAACAATATTTAATTCTTATAAGATTAAAACACTTGACATGGTTTCAAAAAGATTTATACATTGTGCCTTACAAATTACAATATCTATAGTAGTTCATTTAGAAACATGTTTAATTTATAACTAAAATCTTAATAGTTATCTACTTAAAAAAAAAACCCTGACATATACTATAAGTCAGTAGCCTAGCAAAATGTGTAAAATAAATTTTCAAACACACGAACTAACGTGAAAACGATTATATCCAGTAATTATAAAGCGTACCTTTCGCCAACTCGTACATAATAGTGACGTTAAGTCGTGCAACTTACATGGTGTGCCGACAAAATATCTGGCCACCGTCGCCGCTGGACGGGCCACGTCTTGGAATCTATGCATAGCTGAGTGAAGTTTTTTTAAATTATATAATTATTAAGTATTATAATAACGACGCGTTCGCATGCCACCAGCGGATTTTGCGTTTCGATGCTACGGCGTAGGAGATGT